GAGGAGCAAACAGAGATGCTGAAGTCCCTAATCATGCTCCATTTTGAACAGATACATGCTCGCCTCCCCCGGCAGCCGCTTCAGAACGGTTTTCCATACCCTCCCCAAACATCTGCACATTCCATCTAAATTACATTAAAACAATGTAATATCGGCAGGGCCGGCTCCAGGGTTTTGGCCGCCCCAAGCAGCCAAACAAACAAAAAACAAAAAAGCCGCGATCGCGATCTGCGGCGGCAATTCAGCGGAAGGTCCTTCGCTCCAAGCAGGAGTGAGGGACCGTCCGCCGAATTGCCGCCGAACAGCTGGATGTGCCGCCCTTCTCCGGAGTGGCCGCCCCAAGCACCTGCTTGGTAAGCTGGTGCCTGGAGCCGGCCCTGAATATCGGGCTGTTAAGAAGACTCCTGTCTTAATAGCACCCACCATCACCAGCTAAAGAAACAGATCTTATGACAGTTAAAGAAAACTTGGTCTGATAGCATTCTGTCTGGTAAGGAATCACTTATCAACAGTTGTGGGTGTGAAATCTCTACTTTGTTTTACCTTTACGTTCCCTACTTCTCTATTGTTTATCTGTATGGTTTCTGTCTGGTTCTTTGATTGTTTCTGTCTGTTGCATAATTAATTTTACATTTAAATCAACGAAGGTATGATTGGGTAAAAAATTGTTTCCCAATATGTTAAGATATGCAGCAAGGGAGGTTTGGGTTGGACATTAGGAAAAAGTTCCTAGCTGTCAGGGTGGTTAAACACTGGAATAAACTGCCTAGGGAGGTTGTGGAATCTCCATCTCTGGAGATATTTAAGAGTAGGTTAGATAAATATCTATCCGGGATGGTCTAGACAGTATTTGGTCCTGCCACGAGGGCAGGGGACCTCTCGAGGTCCCTTCCAGTCCTAGAATCTATGATTGGTCAAAGACTTACTTTGTAGTACTTTACTTTAAAATGATTGGGTAAAGGTACAGCTAAGCGGGACTCAAGTTTCACTATATAAACTGGGGTCCAACAGGAAGTTCTTTGGCACCTGCTCCAGAACACAGCCCAAAGATCAGAGCTGCCAGACCTCAACACCCCCAGAAGCTGGAGTCCCCGGACAACCTGATCCTGAGTTGCCAGCAGGAAAAGTTTGTCTGCCTTATTGGGAGTGGTGAGCATTGTCTGCTGAGCGTGAGCATTCCGTTTTGGTGATTGGTAATAAATAGAGGTTAAGGATATTACTGTGTACGGTTCTTTCACTAGTAAAACACACAAACAAACAAACCACAAACATGCAGAGTGTAAAGTTACACCCTGAGCCCTAGGAACTGGGTAAGGGTGGGTGCCTTGAGGCAGAGTTGCTGCCATCAGTGTCTGGGCTGGGATTCCTGGAAGCGGTTGTTTGTTTGCTACCACCGCTGTGCCAGGACTGAGGTACATAATGAAAGTAAACAAGTTACACTAAAATTAGCCCCAGGCTCTATAGACCCGAGTTCTCCTCCAACAGGTGCTGACGAGGGTTGTCCATTAATCTCAGTTAATTTATACGATTAACTCAAAAAAAATTCATTGCAATTAAAAAAAATAATCACAATTAAATGTGCTGTTAAACAATAGAATCCCAATTGAAATTTATTAAAATTTTTTGGATGTTTTTCTACATTTTAAAATATATTGACTTCAGTTACAACACAGAATACAAAGTGTACAGTGCTCACTTTATACTGTTATTTTTATTACAAATATTTCAGTGTAAAAATGATAAACAAAAGAAATAGTATTTTTCAATTCACTTCATACAAGTACTGTAGTGCAATCTTTATTGTGAAAGTGCAACTTACAAATGTAGCATATCTGGCACATAAATACTTGCAATGCCAGCTACAAACGTGCCATGTGAATGTCTGTTCTCACTCTCAGGTGACATTGTAAATAAGAAGCGGGCAGCGTTATCTCCTGCAAATGTAAACAAACTTGCTTGTCTTCGTGGTTGGCTGAACAAGAAGTAGGACTGAGTGGACTTTTACGCTCTAACATTATTTTGTTTTTGAGTGCAGTTATGTAACAAACAAACAAACAAACAAACAAAATCTACATGTGTAAGTTGCCCTTTCACAATAAAGATTGCACTACAGGACTTGTATGAGATGAATTGAAAAATACTATTTCTTTTGTTTTTTGACACTGCAAATATTTATAATAAAAAATAAATATAAAGTGAACACTGTACATTTTGTATTCTGTGTTGTAATTGAAATCAATATATTTGAAAATGTAGAAAACATCCAAAAATATTTAAATGGTATTCTATTATTAACAGTGCAATTAATTGTGATTAATTTTTTTTAATACCACTTGGTGGCACATGGGCAGCTGAAGATTCAAGGGAACCCAGACATTCACAGCTGCGAATAGAAGAAGGGAAATTGGTCCTTACCCAGGGAAACGAGGGCCCGGTAATTCCGCAGCATCTGGTCCCGGTATAGCTGCTTCTCTGGCTGGGATAAGAGCTCCCACTCCTCCCGGGTGAAATACAGAGCGACGTCCTCGAACGCCACCTGGAGCTGCTGGCACAAGCGTTACACACTCAGCACCTTCCGCTCCAGCCCCCAGCCCGGAGTCTCAGCAGGGGACGCGGTTTCTATGGGAGCAACTCACAGGGATAACACCCAGCCCAGCAGCTGTGACCCAGGGAGACTCCCCCTGACCCCCCACAGCTCCCCCAGGGACTCGGGGCCCTGCTGGCTGGGGACAGGAGTCACCCTCAGCTCCCTATGGGGCTCTGGGGCGGGGCGCTGGGAAGGGCCCAAATCCCAGGGCAGGGAACAGGCTCCTCCCCCCCGGCCGGAGTCCCCACCTCTGCCCCAGGCCTGTGCTCACTGCCAGCTCCCTCCCCTTGCTCAGGTATCTCAGAGCTCCATTGTCAGGCCAGGGACTCGGGAGAAAGGGGTCGCACCCGGCTCCGCATGTCCGCCCGGCCAGGGCCCTCCCCTTCCTAGTCCCCAGGGACGCTCCCGGCTTTGCGAGTGGTGTCCTGGGGCCCCAAAGCCACTCCCCAGCCCTCCGGCTGCTGCAGCCCCTGAGCCCCCAGGCTGCGTTGGTGCAAAGTGGGACCCCGGGCCAGGCTTGGCCCCACCACACTGAGCCGCTTCCTACCCCGGGGCAGCGCTTGGTCCAGGTCAGCACCACCCCCCAGTAGCTGCTGCTGCCCCCAGCCCTGGGGTCACTAATGCGGGAGGGATCCGGGTCTCAGCACCCAGCCGGGACCAGCCAGAGCCCGGCCGGGGAGTCACTGCCCCCAGCAAGCTCCCAACCAGCATCCTACCTGCGCCGGCCCCGCTGCAGCCATTGCCAGGGTCTGGGGCAAGGCGGGGTCCGTGGTAGCAGGGAAGGGACAGACCGGGCGTGTCTCTTCAGACAGACAATCTGGAGAGAGGCGAAAAGGGGCCTAGTGAGTTCCCAGGGCATCCCCCGAGGAGAGCAGGACCCCGTTATTCTGGGCCTGGGGCAGGTGCGACATTCTCAGTAACATCCCAGGGAGGGGGCTGGGATTAGCCCTCCCCCCGCCCATGTGTCACTGCCCTACTAGGGGGGTGGAAATAAAGCCCCAGGTTAGCTCAGTTGCAGACCCCCCCTCGTTGGCCCAGCGTTGGCGCTGGCTGGGGGGGGGGGTCTCTCCAGCCACCCTCGACTCCGACCCCCCAGCGGCCTCTTTTCTCCGGGCAGCGATTTCCTGCCTCCGCGGCTGTTTCTCTCCCTCCCCTGCGCCCCGCTCATCGACCGATCCCCGGGCTGCAGCGGGGACCCGCCCTGTGCACGGGCCGGGCTGGGGACCCAGGTGTCCGGCCTGGCACGGGAAAGCTCCTCGGCCCCGCCTGCTCCAGGGCGGATTTAGCGCCCCAGCCTTTAACCCTTCCCGCGCCGCGCCGCGCAGACCTATGCGGGCCGGAGAGTCCCGGCTGGGCTGGAGGCGGGAGCCGCCCCGCCCCCTTCTCCAAGAGGCAGGGGCCGGGGGCTCCCTGGGGCTGGAATCGGGGCCAAGCGGGGCAATAGTGGGCCTGGGAACCCAGGAGTCCGGGCGCTGGGACACGTGGGTCAGGTACAATCGCCGCCCCGAGGCAGCCCGGAAGCGAGCGGAGGCTGGAGGGGGTCCGCGCAGCCCGCTCCGGCTGCAGGCAGCCGCCCTCTCCCACTGGCGTGCATGGACAGGGCCTTGAAAGCAATTCTAAGTAGAAATTACATTGATACAAATGACTTCCTTATGCAAATGTCAGTTCCGTTCAGAATGGCCTGGCCTGGCGACAATGAGAGCAAAGCTTGTACACCCACAAGACTATTCCACATTAAACCCCAAATAGAATATTCAGAAAACTCTTCTAATTTCTCTGGAATTTAACCAGTATTCTGCAGGGTGACCTATTTCCCTAAACTGAAAATGGGACTCCGCACGCACCCGGGGAAGCGGCGACGCCAGGCAGCCTGGTGGCAGTGCTATCTGATAAGACGCTCGCCAACACAGAGCTGTTAGTCGGGGTGAGATAGGTCCATGAGAAATCGGGCTTTTCCCATCAGAATAAAAGCTCAGTGATGTGGGGTGCAGGGGTCACCGTTAGCGTGGTGATGTACAATGAGAAGGGGAGTTGGGGCAGGGGGCCCAAGGTCCAGTATACCCTAAAACAGCATTTATCCTCTTGTGTAATGGTCATTACTTTAGAGTCTTGGATGTGAAGACTATGTATGGGGTAAGATATTTCTGTGACCTTTGTTACATGACCTGTAACCCTAAGAATAGCCAGGCTTGCCACCGGAGCGGTGGGCTCTGCCTGAGCCCAGAGTGTGTTACCCGCCCAAAATTCTCTGTTATTCACACACTCTAAGGGCACCCACCCCTACCTGTTCCTAGGGCTCGGGTGTAACCTTACACTCTACGGGTTTGCGGGGTCTTTTACCGGTGAAAGAGCCTTACACAGTAATATCCTTATCCTCTATTTATTAATAATCACCCAAACCAGAATGCTCACACTCAACATACAATGCTCACCACTCCCAATAAGGCAGACCAACTTTTCGGGATCAGGGTATTTGGGGACTCCGGGTTCTGCATGGTGTCACTGGCAGAGTGTTGAGGTCTGGCAGCTCTTGAGCTTGGGGCTGTGTCCTGGAGCTGGTTCCAAAGAACTTCCTTTGGGACCCCAGTTTATATAGTGAAACTTGAGTCCTGCTTACTGGACCTTAACCAATCATTTTACTAACATTTTACTAACCAATCCTAACATATTATAACGAAATTCTCTAACCAATCCTACCCCACCACCTTCATTGATTTACACCTTGCATAATTAATTATACAGCAGACAGAAACAATCTAAGAACCAGACAGAGATCATACAGACAAACAGTAGAGAAGTGGGGACCGTAAAGATAAAACAATAAAGAAATGAGGATTTCACAACCACAACTATTGTTAAGTGGTTTCTTGCTAGACAGAATGCTATCAAACTAAGTTTTCTTTAACCATCTTAAGATCTGTTTATCTGGTGATGGTAGGGTAACCAGATGTCCCGATTTTATAGGGACAGTCCCAATTTTTGAGTCTTTTTCTTATATAGGCTCCTATTACCCCCCCACCCTCGTCCCGATTTTTCACATTTGCTGTCTGGTCACCCTAGGTGATGGTGGGTGCTATTAGAACAGGATCTCCTTTTTAACAGCTGGGATTACATTGTTTTAATATAATTTAGATGGAATGTGAGGATGTGACTTTCTGCTTCTCACCTAATGGGTGTTGCTCTTCTAATCTGGCTGCAGACAAAGGCCTTAGGCCTTACAATATGGCTACAGGAAAAGGCCTTCTCCTTACAAGTGTACGGCAGGTGCTAGAGGTGCGACACTGGCAGGGTGTGCTGCAGGTCCCGGTTGTGTTTAGAGAGACAGAAGGCCTTGGCAACCAGGGCCGGCTCCAGGGTTTTTGCTGCCCCAAGCGGCGACAAAAAAAAAAAAAAAAAAAGCCGCGATCGCGATCTGCGGCGGCAATTCGGCATACG